GGGGGGGCTGGTGCGGAGGGGTTGGAGCAAGATCCCAGACACAGAGTCCAAGGGGGGGTGCTTCTGTGCAAGCAGGTTATGGGGGAGAACCCTCAGAGAAGCTCGAGGGAGAGGGGTCTCCGCCGGGGGCAGCCTCATCCCACGTTACCCAGGCTCTGGAGTGGCAGAGCTGAAGGCCACCCGTATTTCTCAGTCATTAGCTGGGCCAGCCAGGAGCAGCGAGGTGAACAGGGGTGGGCCTAGCCCCCCGGGTCCCAGGAGAAGGGGAGCCGTGAGGAGCCCACACTGACCACAGCCGGGAATTGGGGTGGGGGGAGAGCAGCCTCGACCACGACCCAGGAGTCACTGTGGCAGCAGCTGTGAGCTTGCTCACCAGGCAGGGCTTCTTTTTGATATTTTGGGGCTTCCAGTAACAGCTTTGTAATGTTCAGAAAAACAAAATTTCTCCAAGGCAGTGAGTGATCAGGAAAGCCCCCTCAAGGCTCTGTCCGGTCCAGGGGGCAGCTGGATGGCCGGGAACAGGCAGACCACACCCCGCCCACTCCTGTGCTGGCTGCACTTTCCGTGTCTTCCTCCCAGCCTCCGGGCCTCAGAGAGTTGCTGACCTGTGGATCCTTTCTTGCACAACGCACAGGTGGTTCGGTGGTAGAATTGCCACCTGCTTTTCTTAGACAAGGCTCAGGGTTATTGAGAGGGTGTTCCTATTCACGGGGTTCAGGTTCCATCCAGAAAAGCCTCAGGGTGACATAAACAGATGCTCTTCCTGAAAGTTTGGAGGTTCGAACCGACATAGAGGTACCTTGGAAGAAAGGCCTGGCAATCTGTGCCCAAAATGTCACCATCGTGGACACCCAGTGGTACTCACACACACGGGGACCACCAGGAGTCAGGGCCCAGGTCACAGTGGCTAAGAACAGCAGTTATTCCTTCGAGGAGGTTGATAAACAGTCCCAGAGGGTCAGCATGGGACACTCATGCCTCTTTGAGCGTCCGTGGGGGCACACAGTTTGCATATTTGGCTGCTAACCCCAAGCGGGGAAGTTCAAGCCCACCCATTAGTGCCTCAGAGGAAAAGCCTGACAACCTACTGACAGTTCTGCCATTGAAAATCAAGTGGTGTGTGGTCTGCTCCACACACAGTGGACTTGACAGCAGTCCCCTTGTCTGCATCTCTGTCTGTGGAGTCCCTGGGTGGTGGAAATGGCCAGCATGCCTGGCTACTCACTGAAAGGTGGCAGATGCCAATCCACTCAGAGACACCTCAGAATAAAGGCCTGGCAACCTCCTTCTGAAAACTCAGCCCCTGGAGCCCCTGTCCACAGTCTGCTCTCCGTGACTCAGGGCTGTTGTGAGTTGAGTCCACTGGTTGGTTAGACCTTCAGAGAAAATGCGGCCCGTGAGGTGGCCCGAGAGTACAGGGCCGGGGGGCGGCGGGCAGGGAGCTGGGAGGATGCCGGGTGGATCCTCCTTCCCCGAGCCCACCAGCCAATCCGTCCGCAGAACCTGGTGATGTTCATGAGCGACTTCGTGGACTGGGTCATCCCCGACATCCCCAAGGACATCAGCCAGCAGATCCACAAGGAGAAGGTGCTCATGGTGGAGCTGTTCATGCGTGAGGAGCAGGGCAAACAGCAGCTGCTGGACACGTGGATGGACAAGGACGCAGAACGCCTGCGTGACGTGCCGTGCAACAACCACGCGGCCCGGCCCGGCCCGGCCAGCCCCTCGGGGCCCGGGGGTGCGCTGTAGCTCGGCCCGCGGGGTGGGCGGCCCGGCCAGGCCGTCCACGCCGTGGCCGTGTCACCCGAGGACCTCTGCCCACAGGACGGCGCTCTTCTTTCTCCTCTTCTCCTTCCTTTCCTTGATTTTGCACAAAACCGTTATGCAGGGAGTTTCTTATCATTGGCGTTGGAGCCGAAGGGGGTGACCGCTGGGGGCAGGCCCACAGGACTCAGGGGATGCAGGGGTTGTGGGTGTGTCACCTAAATAATTTCTGGAAAATGGGGTCTCCTTGCATTGACATCCCCGTGCTTGGGTCCCCAATGCCTTAAAACAGAAGTGAAGTGGGAGCCCCAGGCATCGGGCACGAGCAGGGCCCGTTCAGAGGGCGGAAGCAGGAGCTGGTGAGAACAGGCCACCACTGGCCCCCAGGCCAGAAAAATGCCAACTTCTGCCTTTGCCCATCCACCACAGGGTTCAGGGGGTTCTGTTTTATTTGGGGGCTCAAGGGGCACTGGGGTTCATGATTAAACAGTCATCAGTGCCCGTGGGCCCCTTGCCACAAGCCACCCCCGGCAGACAGGCCAGCCCTGGGAGCTGTTCCTTTCACAGTGGATAAAATCTAGTGACAGGGACCTCGAGATAAGCCAGCGATGTCCTACGGATGTCAGCAGGTCAGGCTTCCAGGGTATATGTTCACAGCATTCAGATATTTATTAGGTGTTTTGGAAAAAGAGTCAATGATGTGGTGGATTGGAGGGTTTGGTTCGGGGTTATTTTTCTTTTTCCTGTAGCTTAAAGGTGGGAGGCGTTTCTTTTACTAGTTAACCAGATTATCATTGAGAGGAATTCTGAGTACTGTTCCTACCAAAGATTTTTATGAATAAAGGCTTCTATTTTGGTAACTCTTCACTATATTTGTACTTACAGAAGTGTCACTGCTGAACAGACCTCATGTTAAAAGCTATACACCCGAGTCCCCTGAATGGTGAGGGGCCGAGAATTTGTGGTGATTGTAGGAAGCGATTGTCTGGCTTCCCCAAACACAAGAGACATCAAGAGGGTGTTTGGCCGGAGGGGAAGAGACAGCGTCTGGGGTACGTGTCTCACCGATGCCCACGGGTTGTGGATGGCCCCACAGGCCGCAGGGCAGCCGCTGCCCGGTCCCCGCTGTCGGAGAGCCCCATCTTTGCTGAGACCATGCCACCTACGTTCCCGCTCTCGCCAGAACAGTCAGTAGTTTCAACCCGGGCGGGTTTGTATATAAATAGTGTTGTCCTGAGAAGTAGGTGATTGCCAAAATCCCATTTGTGGGAGCTGGTTTTATAAAGAGTGGACGAGCACAGGCCTGCGAGCACTGTGGCTGGACGTTCCTGGAAATAAATTTGAGTACCTAACGCTCTTCTTTCATGGACACCGTGCGCCCGGCCTTTGCGTGGAGGGACCCACAAGCCCCCTGCCCACTCCTGTGCCCGCTGCTGCAAATTCCAGAAACATCCCTGTGGGCCCAGGTTCTTTCAGAGCGAGACACAGAAACGGCCTGGATGTTCCTGAGACACGGTTGCCCTAGGAGTGGGGGGTAGGGGGGTGTTCACGTGCGTGTAAATATATACTGTGCACGGACATTTGTACACTTGCATGTACACATGTGTCTGCATGTGCTTCTGTGTGGACATGTACATGTGGACTGGGGCTTGTGTGTATACATGTGTGTATGCATGTGTGGATGTGTACCTGCATGCTGGGGGGGGTGTGTGCATGTGTGGACATGTGCCTGTGTGCTGGAGCGTGTGTATATGCATGTATGTGTGTGTGCATGTGGATGTGTACCTGTGTGCTGGGGCATGTGTATGTGCATGTGTGTGTGCATATGGACGTGTACCTGAATGATGGGGCATGTGTGTATACATATGTGTGTGTGTGTGTGTGTGCATGTGGACGTGTACCTGCATTCGGGGGTGTGTATACATGTATGTGTGTGTGTGGACGTGTACCTGTGTGCTGAAGCGTGTGTGCATACATGTGTGTGTGTGTGTGTGTGCACGTTGACATGTACTGCTGAGGCGTGTGTGTGTGTGTATATGTACCTGTGTGCTGGGGCATGTGTGTATACATGTGTGCATGTGGATGTGTACCTGCATGCTGGGTGTGTGGGTGTGTGTGCATGTGTATGCATGTGGACGTGTACCTGAATGCTGGGGCGTGTGTGTGTATACATATATATGTTTGTGTGCATGTGGACGTGTACCTGTGTTCTGGGGCATGTGTATGTATATGTGTGTGCGCGCATGTGGGTGTGTACCTGCATGCTGTGGAGTGTGTATACACGTGTGTGTGTGTGTGTTCACGTGGACATGTACCCGTGTGCTGGGGCACGTGCGTATACATGTGTGTGTGTACATGCGAACGTGTACCTTTGTGCTGGGGTGTGTGTGTATGTGTGTATGCATGTGGACGTGTACGTGCATGCTGGGGCATATGTGTATAATACGTGTGTGTGCACATGTGGGTGTGTACCTGTGTGCTGGGCGTGTGTATACATGTATGCGTGTGTGCATGCATGTTGGCATGTACATGTGTGTTAGGGCTTATACATGTGTGCATACGTGTGTGTACATGTGGGTGTGTGCACTGGGTCTTGCGAGTGCAGGAATATATACACACACATGCTCATGCATGCATGCATGTGACTGTGTGCAGGTAATGTGTGTGCACGTGTGTTTGTGTTGCCTGTGTGTGTCTGGGAGGACAATTGTGCTTACTCGTTCTTCTCATAGCCTCTCCTGGAATTTCCAAACCTTGACCCCTGGCCCCCAGCCTCCACAGATTTGGATTTCCCCGGGGACTACACTAGGGTTGCTGATGTCTTCATCTGGGGGCACATGGACACGCCTTTTAAATCATCACCGGGAACCCCATAGTTTCATCAGAGAAAGAGCTATAGTTGGCCCAGCATCGCACTGAGGAGCACCGGCCACAGCACACCAGAACCGCTCGGCCAGTGCCCTATGAGTGCTCAGGTACCTGGCCCCGCAGTCAGAGACGACCTCTGTGTCAGGGTCCTGTGGGGCAGCTCAGCTCATAACACGAGGTCACCTCAGTCACAAACCACAGCAGAATCTAAACCAATGACAAGGTGTCAGAGCACCACCCCCGGGCTGGAGAGGACCCCACGCATGGGTGACTGGGTCCAGCCCCAGCAACCCCCCTACTCTCCCTGCTCATTGTTCCCCTAAAGACGATGAGTCCGTGTGGGCACTGACCCTAACCCTCACCCTCACACCTTTGGGAGAAGGGGGCCCTCGGCTTCCCCAGGCTGCATGCAGGTCCGCTGATCCCAGAATCGACACTGGCCAGTGGTGTAGAAGCATCTGCCCAGTGCCTGCCCTGTGGCAAGTGTGAGGGGATGTGGTGAGCAGAGTGGGCACAGCATCTCCTTTCCCACCAGGCCCACTGCCTCAGGCTGATCCCAGCTCATGGCCCAGGGATGGAGTAGAGGGCCCCGTGGATGGGCTTCTAGACTGTAAACCTTTCTAAGAGCGCCCGCCTCATCTCTTCCCCAGGCAGCTGACGGGTTCAAACCTCCAGCCTTTCCGTTCACAGCCAAGTGCTTCACCGCTGCACCACCAAGGCCTGTCCTCAAGGTGATCCCGAAACCCAGGGCCCCTCAAGGGTGGAGGGGAACCACCCCATAGGGTTTCTAAGGCCGTGATCACTGGGAGAGGATCCTCCCCCACAGCGGCTGGTGGATGCAAACCACCAACCTTTCAGTCATTGTTGTTAGGTGCTGTGGAGTTGACTACGACTCATGGCGGCCTCGTGGAGCAACAGATCTGAGCCTGCCCTTTCCTGCGCCGTCCTCACAGAATCAGTGTGCTCAGCCCATTGTTAGGGCTACAGTGTGATCCATCTCCTTGAGAGTATTAGAGGACCGATATTTAATCCACTGCGCCACTGGGCTGCTGGGAGTCAGACGCTGGGCCAGATCATTAACTAGGCGCCAGAGCCAGCCAGAAGAAGGAGGAAGTGACAAAACTACGCCAGGCTGTGGCCACAGTGACTGAGGGGGGTGAGGAAAGCCTCTCTTCACCTCTGGACAAAGGATCAGAAATGTTAGACCTTGGGAGGAGTCAGGAGCCTCAAGGTGGAGGGAAAGCAGGTGCAAAGGCCCTGAGGCAGCTGTGTGCTGGGAGTTCTCGGCCAAGAAGCACAAGGTGGCCAGAGCGGAGGGCAGCTGGAGCCCACAGCCAGAGCCCTGCTGGCCACTCAGTACTGTGGGCTGACTAGTTATACATCAGTCTACTGCAGCCCAAAAGGTTTATATTCACTGGTGCTGGGCAGCCAATTGCCAGGCCTTTCTTCCTAGTCTTAGTGTGGAAGCTGCCCTGAGATTTGTTGAGCCCCACAGCAGCACACAAGGCTCCACTCATGGGGTCTCCCTACAGCTGTCAGAGTGGGCTCAGATCTGAGAACACCCAGAGCCTAGACCTCCAGACTCCAGGACTGAGAGAGGACACATTTCTGTTCTTGTGCCCAGACTGTGGGGCACGCTTTGTGCTGGCACCCCAGGGAACCAACCACAGATTCAGTGTCATCTTAATTGTTGAACTGACTTACTATCTAAAAGTCAGGAAAATGCAGCTTTGTGGCTTCTCCTGTGATTACAGCTGGGCCAATGGCACCACCCGCTTCCCACCATGTCGCATTCAAGGGGTGCCTGGGAGTGGCTAATCTGCTTTGGGGATATGGGCATTCTGCAGCCCCCCCCACACACACAGCACACACACACCTTCGACCACAGCCCCGCTCTAGGAAGGTAACGAGTGAGTTATCTGTGGATCCTGAAGTCACTGGTCTTCCCGTATCAGCCTCTGCGAAGGTCCTTGTCCTGGGATCCCCAGACCAGAGCACAGCAACAGGGTGTTCCCGGGACAGAACTGACCCCATCCAAGGCTGGGTACAGGCCAGCCTGCCCCAGGCACCCACATCTCCAGTGCCCACACCATTCTCATCCATAGTCTCCAGGCGCCATTCTGGACTCTAGGACAATTCTATGAGCCTC